TAAATATGCTGTTATACAATATACTGTTCCCAAAATAAATGCTCTATAAATTTGTATTGACTGGCTTTAAATGATTTATTTAGTAGCAGCTATAAGTGGTACTATTAGCTTGTATAATATTTCTGTGCAGTCAGGACACGCTCTCTCTTCTGTCTCAGTAGGCACATAACAGTTACCCCTGCTATTTGTTTCTCACCTCACAGATGCCCAACTGAGAAAGCCATATGTGCAGAACAATCATTCTAGTGATGATAATGGCGTAGGCTATGAGAAGAACGCAGATGGTTGTGTTTACTATTGGCTTTGTACCTGCTGTAATACTTCCACTCTCTCGACTACATGCTTTGTGATAGTTTCTGCCATATCTCATTTTGTGTTTTGTGTTCTGTTTGCTTGACAGTTGCACCTGCAAAACTGACAGGTGTGGTTTTAGCTGGTATTCAGCAAAAAATCAAGGGGTTCATCACATTGGCAACCTCTGGCAATGTCAAACATTTAGTGGGTGGGTTCTTTTGTTTCCTGATCTGTTAAAGTGCCGTCACTCTGGTGTACACTTGGGTGCCCTTTAGCCGGTTAAGTAGTTAGCCGTCGCTCAGATATCCATTGTCTACAGTGGCAGTGGAGGTTGTTTGTTATCTGCTGATTAGTTTCTGGACATTGACAGAATTTTTAAAGGTGTGTGTGATACACTCAACGCCATTTTCAAGGGAAGAAAGGTTGTGGATTGATAAACTTGGGCTGGTGCATGGTGGTGGATAGGCAGTGTACGTTTAGCAGATCAGAATGTGACCATGTATGAGTGTGTTTGTGCATCTCATGTGCTGCCTGTTTCATGTGATTGCTTATCATGGTGGCTGCCTGTGTCTGTGTGACTTCCTGTGCACCGTGCCTGCTGTTTTGATTATCTGCCGATGTGTGTGCGTGCGTGCGTGCGTGCGTGCGTGCGTGTGTGTGTGTGTGTGTGTGTGTGTGTGTGTGTGTGTGTGTGTGTGCGTGCGTGTCTGCTTAACTTGGTCATCATCACCCTCAGCCTTGCCTGTACCTTGCAGTCCTATCACCTCCCTCTAACCTGTAGGCATTAACCACGTGGAGACAGCGACACTCTGGGGCATAAGAAAGGACCTCACCCTTCGACATGGGCACAACCAAGGCTGACAGTGTCTTCCTCTGCTGCAGCAACGCCAAAATGAGCACAAAGTGACAACAAACAACCTCCCAGCCTTTTACACGGCATCAGCATTAATATTCAAGGGCTGACAGTTGGTGCCTTCCTCTTTAGCATTAGCAACAGCAGCTAAGGTAACAGCTTTGGCAGCTCGGACTGTAGCACAGCCAATGTGTAAGTGTGTGTGTAACTTGGCCTGCCAGTCCCTGGGGAGGACCAGCAAAGGAGTTGTGTTACACTCCCTGACAGGCCTTATACATGTTTCATCTGCTGCTCTCAGAACAGAAGCCCCCTTTGTTATCTAATCCAGCCCTCTCCTCCCCAGCCTGAGAGACTGAGTTTACTGCCACAAGACTGCTCTTCACAGTCTGTCAGCCAGCCACTGAACTGATACATATCAACCAACAGCTGAGGAGCAGCAGAAGGACTTGGTCAGGCCCCAGATATCTGCTATCAGGACTTCTCAGCCTGTCTTTCAATCCATTGGCTGGCATGTGGACAGGGCTTTAAAATAAACAAGAGGAACTGAGGGGGCTGTGTGAGGTCCACCTGAGTCAAGATTGTCAAGGATCTAAATTGTGCCTCATCTGTTCAGCACTAAACCTCAACTTTTCGGTAGCTAGTAGCCCTTCAAGCTGCAGGATTGCAAAATCTGCAATTCTTTTAACCAGGGAAGTTCTTTAGGGGTTGCATTTGCATTTTAGTCAGCTAGTCAGGACCATGAGTGACACTCTTAGACCTCCTTCACTCCAGGTGAGCGTCCCAAACGACGCTCCGGCATACTCAGACGGAGGAAGCAACGCCGTGTCAGATGGTTCCGTGCAATCCAGCTCCTCGACCCCAACCCTCCGCCGCAAGCGCTTCAAGATGCGCCGTATGAGGAATGTGCCCAGCGAGAGGGAGACCGAAAGAGGGCGACTGAACGACGGCCACCTCGCAGCCCGATCCCGTTCCGGCTCCAAGGAGTACCTCCAGCTGCCCTCCATTGAGATCACGCCCTCCAGCGATGAAGATGCCCCTTCCTCCTGGTCCAGATGCTCCACGCCCAGCGCCTCCCCTCGCCGCAAGCGTTTCCTGTTGAGGAAGTGGCTGAAGGTCCGAGAGAAGAAGGAGCAAGGCAGTGAGAGCAGGTTGGTATGGGCCCTCCCTACTCACCTCTCCCCATTCCCTTCTTCTCCACCACATCTTCTCTACTTACTCCATGCTGCTTCAAGGCTCCTGCTACCTGCACTAATGTGTGGTGTATCACTAACTGAAAGAGAGTTAAGCTTTGTCTTGTCAGCTCATTTTAGAGGATTGAACATTTAGACTTCTGCTAAGCTTGAGGTTTTTTTTCACCTTTCCGAATTGGATACTTGCAAAGCAGCAAGCAGCTTAATGACTACACACAATACAAGAGGTAGTTACATTTTTCAGGTGCTTTTCTAAGCTATCTTGTGCCCATCTGCCTGTAACAATTCAGCTCTGATGGTCGTAGGGTTAGCCGTGTGGCTGTGATTTACTTTCCTGTTCTAGTGTGTTTTCAGGTCATTTTTGACAGATTGTTACATTTGTTAACAATCACAGGCTCAGTACAGTGCAGACCTCTGCCCAGGGTCACCAAAGTTCATAGATTTCTTTCTCAAAAAAGCACAAAGCTACACAGTAGATACTGTGCGCTTAAAACAAAGTGCTCAGGAGATACCGTAGGGTCACTTGAAAGGTTGGCCTGACAGCAGTACTGAAGGAAAGGTCATGGGGTTTACAAAATCAATAGCTTTCTTCTTTTTGGTCGCATGGTTGCGCGATCCACTAACATCTGAGATACAGTAGGTGATGGTGACACAAGGGGGAAAAGGTCATAGGGTCAATAAAGTAAATCAGCCCTTTCAAAGTTAAAGTATTTAAACAGTTTAAGTAAAGTTTATTTAAATTTTAATCAAGGCCTACAAATGTTCAGAAACCTCACAAAATTTACTCTGTTAAGTTCATTCATGGTGCTATGAATGAGCTGACGGGTATGACTCTTATTAGAAAAGAACTCAGCCAAAGTAGAGAGAACAGAGTAAAATTTCTTTTGAGCAAGTGTATGTTTGTGTCTGGGAATGAATTGTAAGTGTGTTTGTTGGTCGACCTGCAGTTTCTTTAATTAGTCTTAAGAGATTTGATTGAGAAATAATTTAATCTTTTCACAATCTATTACAAGTGCAGCTCTATCAGAAGAAAAAAAAAATATCTGGTAATTATTTTTTTGTCTTCTGTTCCTCTATGTCCTAACAGGAAAGTTGTGACTGGTAACAGATGGCAGACAGAAACAGGTTCATTACTCAGTCCATCAGTGTGTTATCTCTCTCTTAGTTGAAGACACCAACTCTCCAGAGGCATGTGTACATATAAACCTGGCGGCATCCTTGAGTGTGAAATACTGTCGTTACGCAGCACACCATGAGTAAAGCTCAACGCATCCTCAGGGTGCAGCGTGGACTGTTGTAACATGCGTTCCTCAGTTTCATACCATACTGTGGCGTTAAGACGACATGGCTCCTCCTCAGTCTCCTCCTTGTTACTAGCTGCGTGTAGTATGTAAGAAATTCTACAGGCTTAAAACTGTATGGGAGTGACATAAATAATCCAAATCTTAATGTTTATCTTCACTTAATTATTGATGTAGCAGAACAAGCTGTTTTTGTCGTGTTAAGTTGCGAGGACACAGCGCGCTGCTGTACACCCTGTCCTCACAGAGCATTTTCCCACAAGTCAGCATTGCTGACCACATCCCTTAATTATTGCTGCCTTGTGGGCAGTTCTGTTGTTTTAACTTATTGTTTTTTTATTTTTGGAGATTTTGACATCATTGTTTTCAGTTTTTGATAACATTTAATGGCAGGTTGTTCCACAATAGCAGTATTGTAAAGATGGCAGGTTAGGGCGTCTTCATTTGTGGCACTCTAAGATGATTACGGTGTTACAGCTGTGTGTTGAGCATGATTTTCTGTGAGCGTGTACACAGATAATCAGTATACAGGAGCATCCCCACTGATGATGATGTAAATATGATGCAGCTGTGAGCTGTGCCTGCAGCAGTCACACACTCTCCACTATCTAAGTACATATATGAGTTTGCTGGGGAACATTTAAGAATTACTAGAAAATGTACTTTGCATAACCTGCAGATTTGTTCCTCAAACTACTAAACAAAGTGAAACAGCCATAATCAAACCACAAGAGGTTTCGTACAGTAATGCTTTGCTTTGTAAAAGAGGAATTTCAGTGGAAAAACATTCAACAATAATGATATTTAGTAATACTGGCGGGATGCGGCTCTAGGGATGGTAGTGCTGGTCTGTCAGTCTCACGTGTCAGGACTTTGGTGCAGACTCAAATATTTTAACAACTGTTTGAACAATTACCTTGAAATTTGATGTGAATATTTATGGTGCCCAGAGGATACAGCCTAATGACTTTGGTCATCTCCTGACTTTTCGTATAACTCCACCATGAGGTTGACATTTGTGGTTATGAGTGAAATATCTTGACAGCTATTTGATGGATTGCAATTAAATTCAGGACAGACATTCACGTCCCACTCAGGGCGAACTCCCCAGTTTTGACAAAGTCTTTTACTGTTTTTGTGGAGTTTTCTTTGCAGGGAATTAGCCATTTTAATGATAGATTGACTACCCACGTGCAACTGAGAATATTTTTGCAGGGGCAATGTTGCTGTACTCTGTGCTCGGTGCCGCCCAAGATGACTGTGATTGGTTTGAAGCATACAAACAAGCCAGACTGATAATGGGTCCAGACCTTTTTCCAGTGCTGTCAGGAGAGCTGCGGAAATAGGTCTGACTATGCGACCTTTTCATCTAGTGCCATCATCAGGTAAAAAGGTGTTCAAGTACTTTGTTTTATCACTAAATACTCGTGAAACTAATGACATTGCAGTCGGCCTCAGCTGTCCTTTGTGTTTAATGGTAGTTAGCAAATGTTAGCATGCTAACCCACTAAACTAAGATGATTAGTGAGCAGAAGCATTATACCTGCTAAACATCACCATGTTAACATTGTCATTGTGAGCGTGTTAGTATGCTGACGTTAACATTTAGGTCAAACCATCACTGTGGTTATAGTAAATGGAGGCTCAGAGAGCAACCAGCATGGCTGTAGACTCTCAATGTTGTTACCTGGCAACAGCCATATTTTATCTGAATGTAAAATCTCAATCGGCAAAGTGACTATAGACGTGAAATTAATGTATTGGAGGAAACAAATATATTCCTTTCGACTGAAATGCAGAGGAGGAAAGGAAGTCTCAAACAGAAATACTCAAGCAGTGCTTTGAAAAAAAAGTGCATATAGTTCGTCCCTCTCTTTCCCTGGGGAAATAACTGCACCATTAAACCATATTTTAAAACCTGAGCAGGACACACTTGTTACTGTACTTGTATCAGTTAAGGTCTGATCTAGATTTGACGGTTAGAGTCTAAAAAGAGAGGCAAATGGAAGACCATCTCAAAGTTTTAACGATGTGACTGAGTCTTAAATCTTACAGCGTCCCGTCTCAAAGAAATGTGGTTATGCATTGTTTCTAGCTGCAGCAGTTTTGTCCATCCAACTCCTCAAGCAAGACACTGGACTTTTACCTCCACCAGGAGTGACACTCATGGCTGCCCAGCACTTTGACATGTTCTCAATTAATGAGGCGAGAAATGAGAAAACCATTGAAATCACACCATTGTGCCACTTTAAAGGATCATTAGCCCGCCTGTCGTTGCTTTTTGACAGTTGTGTTGTATATGTACGCAAAATGTACAGTACAAGAAGTTTCTAGTTGGTGTTTTAACAGATACTTACTCAGTGTTTGTGGTTTGAGACCTGTGCGACTGCTCAGTTAATATACCAACATGTCAGTGTTTATAGTTAACCACATACACGTGGTTTGTTCATTTGGTCTGGTGCAGTGTAAACAATGTGGCCTTGGATTTCTCATCATGGAGGAAGAAAAAGAATACTGTAAGTATTCAAAAACATTTTATCAAGATATAACGGAGGTTTGAAGCTCAGTGCAGTGCATCAGTACTGCTGTGTGTTCTTTGATTGATGATGATTGATTGATGGGATGCACTGTTAGTTGCTTTAAGTCTGGCTGGTTCAGTGTAATTTTCTAACATCACTTCAGCTTTCTGTCACCGACGTGGAACATCACCACTCAGACCCTTTTTAAATCTATGAAGCTTTTGTGATGAGATGAAAACCTTTCAGTGTTTTTGTAGTTTAATCTGCTCTGACCTGAAGTAAGCCTGAGTAACACATTCTTAGTCCAGCACAAGTGTTCATACTTATCACTGTTCTTTGTTAATTTGTTACATTTGTGACTGTAGCATCTTAATCTTGTCTTTTTCCAGTGTTAGTTTGTGTGTGTGTGTGTGTGTGTGTGTGTGTGTAAGATTGTCTGGGAACAGGGGAGGCTCGCAGACACAGTGGAATCTGCTGTTTTGCAGCCTGATAAGAGCAGGGCTATTTCGAGGAAGTGGTGCAGTATCTTTCACCAGGCTTCACTGCTTCCACCTCGTTCAAGCATTTAAATATTTCAGACACACAATTTCTCCCAAAGCAACATAGGAAAAACAAGAAATCGGATGTGTTACTGTCATGTATTTGAAGAAATTTTAATAAGTGGATAAACAGTTCTTAAATAAGGTGTTGTGTTCAAATTTTTCCAGCAATTTCACTTTTATGTTAGTCATGAAATAAATGAAAGAGGCATCTGTGCGATGCTGACAATTGCTGTGAACTTATTTTAACACTGTTTTAAAATTGATATTTATTTTGCTACCCCTCCTTGCTATCATGTTCAAAGCACATATTCCATCAATTGTGTATGAGTACTGAATAATTCAGTGAGGGCCCACGCCATGTCAACTTTCAGTTCTTGTGACTTCATATGAACATGCTCTAAAGGCCAGGGATACAAGTATAAACACTTGCATAACACGAACAAACCCAACTGCTTTTGCGGCACATGTCTTCCCTCTGAGAGAACAGCTTGCAGACACACTGCACCTGCAGCAGACAGAGAATGAGCAAAGACATGAGGCAGTGGAACTGATATTCCACAAAAAATGTTGATTCTGTTGTAGCAGCATTATAATGCAAGGTTACCTTAGCTTTAAACTGTCAGCATATCAGTTTCATATCTATCCATTACATCTGGTGAAATGTACAAATAGGACTGCATGCTGTTGTTTTTCATGAAAACATACAGGTTTTTGATTTTAACTCAGCTATATTTCCTTGTGTTTACTTCAAGACGGACTCTGCTTCGTCTTAGACTCAATTTTAAACTTACATTGTCTGAAATGAAAAAAAATTCCCTCAAGGCGGTGAAGCATTATTTAGTTGATTTTGTACTCCACACAAGTGACTGGGAAATGCTTATAATAGTATTGTGTATTCTATTCTATAACTGAATAGACAGATTTCAGAGATAAGTATTAAACTTTTTTATTGAAACTATTTTCAGAGTGCATCTAGAGTGTACCAAAATAATCTCATCCTCCCAAAATCTGCATTTTTCATCTGTGCCAGCATCCCCCTCAGGCCTCGTACAGCCCATAGCTGCTGTAGGAAACAGATCAGGACACCCTGCTGAGAGTGAATTAATGAAGACCTTTCCCAACAGAAAGGCTTTATTCTTAAATGTCAAAGTATGGATGGAAAGCAGGGTTGAAAAATAGGGAAGTCATCCATTGTGAAAACAAAGAGAGAGAGAGAGAGAGAGGAGAAAAAGATAGCTGTGACCCTGTGATATCATTCATACAGTATGTGTAACATACAGTTTACTCTTTTGACAATTAAATAGGAAACTAAGTAAAGTAGATAAGAAATATCAATTCTCTGATTTATTCTTTGAATAGTAGCAACAGTCAGAAAACTCTTCAAAAGATTTCTAGGTGTTCAACTATTCATGTAATTTTATGCATTAATGGTTCCCTCTGTATATACTCATTTACACATCTGCAACCCCCTTTAATTATTATCAGGAGCCTTGTCTGTTGCATAGCCTATGTCATATAGCCCCCTCTAGTGTTAATACCGCATTTGCGCATGCACAGGACAGGAACTTCTACCACTAACCGAATGGATGAAGTTGCCATATATATTTGACCGTATTTGTTACTGTATGTATTTGACACTTAATTTACAGGAGCTTGGAGAGCTGATGTTAGGCCCAGCAGCAGCAAATTTATGACAGAAACATTATTAGAAACAAACATTTTTACATTTTACCCTGCAGGAGTTGAAAATAAATTAAAACATGCACCGTAGAGTTTGTATAATAAGGTCTATTGATGTTCTACTTTATTTTCTTCATGTTTTCACTTAATTTCTCTTGTTCAAATGAGTTGAAATGAGTGAATAACCCCGGTTCAATAATTCACAACAGGCTCATTCCTTACATAACACATAAAAAAGTGTTTATGCAGTATATCATCACATTCACATTGCATTTTAGTAGAAGGACACTGTAATGATTGACAACCCTGACCTCTCTCCTGTGTCCCATGCAGCAGTCAGCAGAGCAGCCAGCAGAGCAGCCAGCAGAGCAGCCATGAAGACGACAACACTCGCTTCTTGACTCCATTAATCCGAGAGGAGAGGTGAGCAATCTTTGTATGTGCCTCCATTCCTTTTCTGCTTGCAACCCATCCCAAATCAAAGTGTGGCTTAATGAAACATGTTACTTAAATCAAAGTGAGAGAGTTTAATCCAGGAAGGATATAGGAGACAGTGTGTTTTATATGGCTGCAGTACCTATTGAACCAGGTCACATGTAGATTCATGCTGCTGGGAAGAATAATCAACCCAAAATGTCAATGTATTCCATAGTTTTTAGTCACATCTGTTCATTCCTTGCACGCATCCCCCACTAGAGGGCACTTCCTCCCCATACTGGTGCCATAGACAGAGGCATTGTTGTACTGCATGATCTGTTTTTTGTATCTTCATTGTGGCTTTTTTTTTTTTTTTTTTTTTTTGTCAAAATAGAAATTCAAGCCTGCAGACAAATTGACAAAATTGATTTACATGGGACACTTGAAGCATCAACAAATGTATAAAAGCCACATATTGTTTCTGATGTGACATTAATGAGCATAGGTCTCATTTCTTTTCTTTTCTTCATCTAAAAGTGGCCATATGTAATTACCCCTGCAATGATTATTGTGCGTGAGTTGAGAGACGGGCAGTATCATTAGCTCTTTATCACCCTGGAATATGCTGCAGCTGTCACAGGAGCACCAGTGACAGACCTGGACATTAAATCAGTTACTGAAGCTGGTGTGTAGGTGTGCGTACGTGTCTGTTTAAACGTGTGTGTTGGTGTGCCTGCCGGCCTGGATCGTGCGGTTTCATACTTCATACTTTATACCTGAAGTAAATCAGTGCAGCCAGTCACAAATTCAAGTGAGCAATCTGTTGCTTTCCAAGGAGATTAGGAACAGGATGTAACAGGAAAGTAGAACTACCTGCATTACTGAACGTTTCATGTCTTACTGTCTTTTCGGGCTGAAATACTATTATTAAACACAGCGTGAATAGCAAATCACTGACAAGTACCGCACTGACGCAGGTGTGTGTCTTCTGGCTTGTACTGCAGCCTCATTTTCAGACTGCTGTAAAAAGTAGGAAGAAAGAAGTGATACAGTCTCCAGTGTTGTCTATGTTTATTGTCAGTTTGTTTTTGATTTCCAACAAGATGGTAGTCAGTAATGTCAGATGTCAGATTTTACCACCAACACATAAATGCAAGTCCAGTGATTTTGGAAAAAAATACCAAGAAGCAAAGTCTTTTGATCACCAAACATTTAAACAGATTGTTCGACAAAGTCTCAGAAATATTAAACATGTTTCAGCTGTTGGCAAAGAAAGTCAAATTGGCAATTTATAGGTCTGCAGAACTACCAGGGGCATTTAAAGTCATATCAGGTAACTAAAGACCTTTTAAAAAGAGCATGAGGCAAAATACAAGATTAGACAAAGGGTTTTTTGGCTAATTTCAGGCATTTGATGATGCAAACAGCTTTTTTTTCAGCATCTGCAGTCCAGGGATTATTCCTACATTTCAATAGTTGCTGGCTGCACAGAGAAGAAGCTGTTGCTGATTTTGTCATTAAACAGAAATTGATAGTAAAACCAAATGTGATGCTTGACGGTTCTGATGATAGAAATTTGGAAACAGAAAATGTGCAAGAATCTTCTTTGTCTAGCTTCATAATAACCACCCACTGAGCTGTCTTTGCCTTCAGCTCTGTGTATCTTTCTCTACACCTATACTCTTTCTGTCTGTCCTGCATGTTCCTCTCTCTGGCTCTGGCTCTGCCTCCCGCGCACTCTTCTCCCTCAGTGCCTCCACTCGCTCGAATTAGGAACAGTACCTGTCAAACCTATGGGATTTCTCGCTGCTCTTCTCTTTGCTGTGCTGGTGATAGCTAGTGAGGCGCTTCTGCAGCAGCTGCAGGGAGAGCAGCGTTCTGTAGCCGGCTTTAGAGGGCACGGAATGTCATGTCTCCTCTGCAGGTAAAAAAACCAGCTGCATTTCTGCCTGGAGGATGCACTGCTGCATCTCCCAAAACTCTGCGTGTCTCGCCGTCTCCATGTCCGTCAGTCTTGTCTTGCTCTCACCGCATCTGTCTGTTTGCCTTGTGAGCTGCAGTTTGGTCAGTGTGCTGTGTGCAGCTGCATTTTCGGGGGGAAGTGACAGCAGGCTGTCGGCTAATATGTGCCTGTAGCTGTGATTTTTTTTTTTTTTTTTTTTTTATCTGCCTCTGCCAGATTATCTGGGCATCCGTGGTGGTTCAGGGGGAGAAATGAGGGCAAGTTTTCTCATTTGCTGCCATTTTCTTTCATTTGCATCCTCCGCTATAACTGCAGAGTGTTATGTAATATCACAACGTGACTTTGCCAAGTCAGTGTAACATGACTCATCAGTGAAGATGACGCAGCACATGATTGTGAGTTGTGAATCGGGATTACACTCTGAGAGACAAGCCATCACTGGGTCAATTTATAGCATAGAGTATATATTTATGTAACCATAATGAAACTGCACAATTTCGTACCAGGCTGCCTATTAAAGGCATGTCACACTTTACTGCAACCTCCACATTTACCAGGTATGTCAGCAGGTATAAACACATAACCGTATAAAACACTACAGTACAGCTGTAAGGACATATAAGGACATTTTAAAGTGTTTATTAACATATGTAATGCATAATTACTAATGAATAATTACATAATTCCTCCTATTAAGAATCTGTAACTAGATTATAACATCTAATGAATTCATTAATTAACAATTTAACATACGTTTATTCACATGTAATGATATGTACATTCATTCACTGGTGGATTTAAACTGTTTGTACTCAATATATAATTAAAGCTAAGTTATTAACTATATATACACCTGTAATGGATGCCTTATGGGAAGATTTATGAATGAAGAGTAACAGTTGTTTACAAAACAGTGATAAATACAAATTTATTCATTTTTTATCTGCCTAGAACTACATAAAAGTGTTATAATGTGTTATAGACCAGTTATTATTAATTTATATGCTTCGTATAAATGGCAAATTGTAGGTTTAACGTGTTACCCATTACAGCTTTTAGTAGTATTTGAAGTGGTGGTGCAGTGAAAACGACCACACCAAATTTAAACAAAACAGAAATGACTGGCAGTGGATGCAGCGCCCCATGACTGAATTCTCGCTCCTCTCTTCTTCTGTGCAGGTCTGACAGTGCAGCCGACAAAATCAGGTAAGTCTGCACTCTGAGTATTATGCAAACTCTTCCTTTACCTACAGAAGTGTGAGCATGCATCGTATGTTGGTGGGCTCACGGAGCACAGATACAGCGGGACAGGCCTCGCTGTCACCCCACTTGCCCCGGCCCACCCACCCTGCATGTGACACAGATTCGCGGCTTTGTCCGCCAACCAAGGTGTCTGAATGCGCTTTACATTTGGAGAGGCCAGCAGTGAATACAGTTGCAAGCCATGGAATGCCATTGTTTGCTTTTATTGGACAACATCAACATCAGACACAAACAGGGCTTTGTGAGTTGGAAACCATTGTGGAGCTTTTAGTCTTTTAGCTAGCCGGCCGGTGGCAGGTCAGCAGCGTGGACACACACTGTGGGCCCAGACACTGTGTTCTTCAGGGTGTGAAGGCTTTGCTGTCACAAGAGACACTGTGCCAGTCCTGAAGCAAAGTGGTTCGAGGCACAGGCTGAAAAGGTGAGTGATAGGTAATGATGTTTGTAGTCTGCGGTGCACCACGTGAGAAGTGGACCAGGGAATTTAATGAATAGCAGGTCCTCCATGCTTAACTTGGCGGAGGAGAACGTATATTGTACTGCATTGGTTTAATATTACATTTCAGATTTTTTATTTCCAAAACCCTCAGGACATCTTCCTGATGCTAGGTTTACGTCCATGTTGCATAATTCATATCTGAATTGTCTCTGAGTTTGAACTCTAACTGTAACTCTTCTGGTTGTATTTATTGACTCCTCCGCCTTAATGACCAGCACAGTATGCTATAGAATTTATAATAGGACTAAATAAGGGATTTCCGTATTTGTTTTGTTTAGGGGTTAATTTACATACTGATATCTTCATTTAGCACATGTGGGTTTGCATTTTTCTACTTTATGTGTACGCAAGTGGGATGGTTGCATTTCCCCTCTACTGTAGTGTGCCTTATTGAATTGCAGCTGTGAAAATTGATATTCACGGCCTGCTATGAAGCCATAACCATGAAAGCTCCTTGTGTTTTGGCGTTTGTGTCTGTGTGTGTCTGTGTGTGCGTGCGTGCGTGCGTGCGTGCTGTGTGTGCGTGCTGTGTGTGCATGCTGTGTTCTCTGCTCAGTGGTCAGGTGGGAGATGTGCTGTTTGTCTGGCACATTTTCTGAGCTGAGTGAGACACTGTTATTCTGGTGTGTTTTTGGTGTGTGCATTCTGGTATGTGTGTGTGTCTCTGGTTTGTTGTGCTTTGAGTGGTTAGTCATGCAAGTTGGGTGAGGAGCGGGATGAACCATGTTTGAACCACTAGGAGTCTCTATACTCCAACACACAACCAAGACATGGTTTATTGAGCCCAGTGTGTGTTTTCAGTGAACAATTATCCAGGTGAGGTCACCCATCATTTAGAAATGATCGGCAATAAGCTGTAAAAACTAATTGTTGGGTCTCTTTCTATCGCCATATTACTTGGATAAAAGGTTTTTGCTCTGTAATAATTTTGTCACAGTGGGTGTAAATTTTGGTCTGGTGCAAGACAGTGTTGTTTCTGTTGCAGAATGAGTTTGTTTTCTAATGCTGAGTGTGATATGTGACAGAAGGTCAGCCATTAGACCAAGTGATGTTCCTTTGTGTCGTTACCGTTTGCATGCCAAGCATAAATCACGAGTGCTAATGCAGGGATTATTATTAAATTAAGATTCAGCTGCTCTTGCACTTCGCTGACTTTACTTTAGTTTGTCGGTATAAACTGTAACTTCTTGAGTTTTTTAAGTTTTAAAGGATTGGCTTCATTAGTCACACATAAAGAATAGTGCACTTGCTAATGTTTTTTTAACCAGTCTGATAATAAATCAGTCAGAATGAGGAACTGCTTCTTTTTTTGGGATCAGGGCAGTTTATATTATATCATTTAGCAAGGCTTTTTTTCATTGAAATGAGAAGATATATGCATGACTTGGAAGACCAAAGTCAGCCTCATACAGTCGACCACACACAAAAAAGACCAACACAAAAAACGCATTAGTTTTAGTATTTTAGCAAATAAGAGTTGTTTATACAATGGCCAAGCTGCTGGAGGTACTTATTTAAAGATGTTTAAGGACATTTAGATCTGTATTATACAGTAACTATAATCATACATGACATCTAGTCTCATATTACAGTATTGATATTGCATGAAATATTGAATGAATATTACATCATCCCCTGTCTTGCCTTTACCAAAGCACATCTCCCGTTTTGTTTCTGTATCCTTTGTAACCCCACTGCAGGTATTTCCTAAGTGATCTTGAATCACACGAACTTCACAAGATCAATACATAGTTTTTTTTTTATAAAGCCAGCTGTAAATAATGCATGCAAAAAGCCCTCTGGCTGGATAAAGTGGGCAGGATGCAAGTGCATTTGGAAACTCTGTACTTTGCATGTTGTAAAGAGGAGATCGAGTCAGTTGCTGTCAGTGTGTCTGGAAGGCGGAGAGAAGCTCTGGTGTATTCTCCCGCTGACAGAATAAGAGGCTGTTGAGTTGAATAACGTGACAGTGACTGATCTCGGCCTTTATAATGACTATTAGAATACAGTCCATTCTTCTGCTGAGGTTCTCCTCAACAGTCCAACATTGTACTTTCTGCCTTTTCTGTCCTCGCTCTAATGTCCGCATTGCTCTTGCGCCGTCTCAGTTGCTGGATTATCGATCATCGTCTGTGGTGTGAGACATTAGCTTCCAGTGATGGAGGTCAGCATAATCTGATCTCACTCTTTCCTTAGCCCCAGAAAAAGCATGGATCCGACATATTGGGTAAACGATACTCAGAAAATAGACGAGATCCCAGTTTCTTGTTCCGGATGACTTTCAAACCAGGAAGGGAGAAGTCACTGCAGTCAATTATACATTAGACAACAGATAACTTGTTGTGAGAGACTGATATTTCATTGAGAACATTTTTGAACATACACCATAATCAATTCAAATAGATAACTTTACCTCATAATTGTTCTAATTTAGTATATTTCATGCATTATTCACTTTGTGCTGACAAAAAATTTTATTAGTATTTATAAAAGCTCAGTAATCAGCCACATTATTGATGAACAGTTTGCCATTCCCAAATACAGACACTTCATACATTGCTTAAAATAATGTATTTTTCCGTCTGTATTTGTTTTTTATTTTTTTATTTTATCTTTTTTTTTGTTATATTGGTTGAAGTGGCTTTTGTGCTTTGTTCTGTGGCAGAATAGGTTACAGTTTCTCTTTATTAGCCTTGCATGGTTTCATCTGCAGCATTGTAGTTTTCTGTCTGATCTTATTCTACATTTGTTAGTGGTATCTCAGGGTAATCTTCTCTAATGACTCCTGTGGTTCACACAATAATATCAGTACATCCAAATGGTTGTGATGATGATGATGACAGTGATGCATGTGTGTTGCTTGGTGAATTTGGGTCATGGACTTTGCCGGGGTGTTATGTCTGCAAGATAGGATGACTTCATGACGTAGCTGCCAGCCCTTCCCCATATTCATGTGTGCATTTGTGTGCGTGCAGCCACCGTGTCACTAATGCGGCTCCTCACAAAGACGTCGTGATGCTTTGGTCGAGCACCGCGCATGCATGCCTGCAGCTTGTAGCGCAGACAGCGAGTCAGAGAGAGGAGGAGGAGGAGGAGGAGGAGGAGGAGGAGGAGGAGGAGAGATGGAGAAAGTGACGGAGAGCAGCGCAAGGGAAGGGAAGGGAGGCTGATAAAGCAGAGAGAGCAGGAAAGGAGGTGAAGGACCACCCTTATCGAGCATAGCCGTTCTCAGTGAGCCTACCAAACGGACCTTCCCACACACACACCATGGCTAACCAGCCAATCAGAGGGCTCACATCTTTGACCCATCCTCCCTCGTACAACTGCTCATGCATGGCTCAGCGAAGCAGATTTGAGGTGATACGATAGGAAACGAGGCTGCGAACCTCCTGGACAGAAAACTGACACTCGCTGGGTTTTTAAAATGCAGGGAGGAAAGATGGTGGGTTGACAACAGCTGTGAGGAATTGTGGGCTTAGATGTATTCGTATCAGGATTGTGGCATCTGGTCAGCCTGGACATCCTGTGGCTTCTGAGCAGGCATCATAGATTAGCAACTGTTGTCTGTATCACCTCTCTTTGCAACTTTCCGTGTCTGAGCTGGTGACATTGTTTTTCCTCTGACTGATTTTGGATGTGCTCTGTGAGAGAGGAGGACAAGAGGGATTTTATAAGGCTTGGCGATGATGACAAACCATGCTGGACAAGTGACAATCTGACAACGAAACAGCGGGACAGTGATTGAAGAGAGGCCATGAGAGCCAGGAGAGAGGCCAGGATGGTGTCTGCCTGTTCACCATGCACAAACATAAGGTCAGGTCTGATTTCTGTTACTTTTCCTTACCTGCGGTACATCCTTATCTTGTAGTCTTGAGTTTGACCGGACGGCAAATTAGCCGACATGCAGATAGGATGACGTGCATGAAATAAATATGAAACATAACTGATGTCATCCGTAGCGTATAGTTATTTTTGAAACCGGCTAGGTTCCAAAGATTTAAATACAGGCTTGTAGTCAAAAATTCAACTCAAATATTCTCTATTTAATATGACCTGTTCTAACAAACTCCATCCTGGATATTTTTACATTTACCACTATAATGTGTGCCACTATAATCCATTACATACTAGACTACCGGATGCCAGATAATCATCATATGATTATCTACTGAATTAAGTGCTAATGTAGTTTCTACTCTCCACATCAGATGACGTAGACGACCCGGGTATTGTTCTGCAGCTGTACCCTTTTCTGTTTGACCTTTGCTGAGAAATAGCATCTGCTCTCTTGCTCTCTCTCTCTCTCTCTCTCTCTCTCTCTCTCTCTCTCTCTCTCTCTCTCTCTTTCTTTTTTTTTTCTCTTCTCTCTCTCTGTCCACAGCAGGTTTTTAAATGTCAATTACATTAGTTTTTTTCAATTAACTTGCTTTAAGGAATTTAGCAT